CTGGGGAGTGGAGCCAGGGAAGTATGATGCTGGGGGAGGGGTAGTAAACATATATATTATATATAATATGGATATATAATATATTATATATATTTATATTAACAGCCAGCTCCCCCAGGGAAGATGAGAGTGTGGAATATAGTGAGCGATGATTTCTGTATTATAAATACATTAGTCTCCTCTTATGCAATATTCTGCTTTCCAGGCCTTCAGTTATCTGTGGTTCACAACATTGGAATAGAAATAAATAGAAATGTCTAGAAATAAATAGTTCATAAGTTTTTAATTTCTCACCAGTCTGAGGAGCAAGATAAATGTGCTGTCCCACCCAGGATGTGAAGCAACCCCATATCCAGAGTATCCACTGTGTATACACTACCCACTTACTAGTCTTAGGAGCCTGTTGGTTATTCAGACAATCCTTCTGATTTAGGCCATTTTTTTCTGCAACAGAATACCAGAAACTGGACAGTTTATAAAGGGAAGTTTATTCTGACTCACGGGTCTGACTTCATGGGAAGTCTTGGGCTAAGCAGCTACATCTGATGAGGGCCTGGTATTGCATCATAATGTGGTAAAGTGTAGAAGAAGTTGTACATGGAGGAGGAAAAGCATGAGGGATGGACTGACACCCTAGTAACTGCTACATGGACCCTACTACCATGAGAAACAGATCCCACTCTGACCGTTAAAGGTCCCACTCACTCCCAACCCTGCCACAAAAGCAATGAAATTTCATGTCAATCTTAGGAAAAATCATATTTGAACCATTGAAATTGACTTCTTCATCTGTAAAATGAGACCTTGCTCTGTTATTAAAGATACTGCATTTTGCTAAGGAAAGGAACTGGCTTTGGCGTCGGTGGCCTGTGATCTTATCCTGCCTTAGCTCTGGCAAACTGCCTTTACCTTTATTCCCTCGCTTGGAAAGCGAGGCATTGACTCCATAGGTTGATGACGAATGAGTAACTGAGATAATATTTGCACATCACAGACTCCAGAAGGGTATGTCTTAGCATGTACTTGGTGGTTACCATGAAGTGTGGCACATAGAGAATTTTACCTTTTACTTTTGCCCATCCAGATTCAGTATTGTGTTGGTAAATGCTTAACAACAGCTCTTCCAAAAGTAAAGGCCTGAGCCATACTGTTTGCCTGTTTCTGTGGTATAGATATTCCCCTGGGGCTGATTTCATACTACGTCAGTCAACCCTGAACACGGAGCTGGGAAAACATGTATGCTCTTAAACACAGGTACAAGCCCACATCAGCACACCCCTGTTTTCTAAAACTGTACTCAGTGTTTTGCTTAAGGGATAAATTAAGAGAGAGAATACTGAACAGCTAGCATTGTGCCTGACACATTAGTTTTCAACTCTCTCTTGTCTTCTCTCTCTCATCTTTGGCCCTTGTTACTCTAATCAAATAGCACACTGATCTTGAACACCAGCTATGTGAAGTGTGGGGTGTGTGTGTGTGTGTGTGTGTGTGTGTGTGTGTGTGTGTGTAGGATCTTCTGGAATCTAAGCACCGTATTTTGCATCAGCCAGGTGTCTTGTGTCTCAGACCCTGGGCAGCCTGCAGAAGAGCCGTAAGGTTGACTTGCTAAGGTATAAGCAAGTAGATATGCAGGTCTTCTCCCTCTTCACAGGAGATGTCTCTGAGCAGAGCAGTGCAGGGCTGAAAGAGTTGTAGATAGAATACAAGAATATTGCTTATTGATGAAGGGCCTGGGGCGGGGGATACACATTTAGGAGACCATAGCCTGGAACCAGCTTATTCATTACCTTCAACAGTGATCCAGCAGGTGCGTGTGCGTGTGCATGTGTGTCTGGGAGTGAGGAGTGAAAGACAGGCCTGTATGTGTGTGTCTATGGCTGTGGGCTCTGCAGATCTCTGGGAATATTAAAGAATGGAGCATCATCAAATGATGGTCATGAAGCGTGACAACAGAATCTCAGAGGCACATACCTCACACCTTGCATGGGCTGGTCCCAGTCTTCCAGCACCTGGCACAGCTGCCAGCTCAAGATGCATTTGAGACATTTCTTTATAAAGCTCAGTCTAGACAGGTTCGTGTGTGTGTGTGTGTGTGTGTGTGTGTGTGTGTGTGTGTGTGTGTGTGTGTGTGTGTTTGATTAATGAAATCCTTTTGTTCCTTCATAACTTGGTCTATGGCAGAAGGCTTGCAAGGCCACTCCATCCCATTCTCATTCAGTAAACAAGGCCTAACCTTTACAAGCATGTGCCTGGGTAGAAAATGTCTTGAAAGAGATGCAAACTGTTAGGAAAGATCACCAATAATTCTTAAAAATATTTTTGTGGAGCTGGGAAGATTGGTCAGTGAATAAAGTGCCCTGAAAGCATTAGAATTTAAGTTCCGTCTCCAGGTACCACATGTAAAGCCAGGCACTGTGGAGTGTTTGTAATCCCAACACTGGGAAACAGACACAGGCAAATCCTAGGACTTGCTGGGTAGCCAGCCCAACTTACGTGGCAAGCTCCAGGTCAACGAGAGACTCTGTCTCATAAAAGGAAAAAAAAAGTGGATGGAACCTGAGAAATGACACTGAGATTAGGTTGACCCCATCCTCCACATGCTCCCAGGCATAGGTGCACCCTGCACACACATGCCTTTTCTGTAGTTTTCACATATGTCTTCAGAAAGCATATATGTATGAAACACACACACACACACACACACACACACACACACACACACACACACCCTATAGAAATAGGCAACCCGAAAATAAAGGTGAAGCAAGAATGATGTTGGCAGTTAGGCAAGAATGATGTTGGCAGTTAGTCCTCACAGGGTGATGTGCTCCTTGTATGAGGCTCTGAACTGAAGGTCCCACTGCCCATGGAGGTCCCGTAGCTCAGGCCTGGCCCTACACCTTGGGGGACCCATCACAGGCCCCCTCCCCCCAGCCTCTCCTGTGGGGCTTCCTCTTGGACGATGACTAAAATTGCTTCTCTGAAGACCCTGGCAGAGGTGTGTAGAGATCTCTTAGACAGAAGTAGAGTGGAGGGGGCCAGTCCCCAGGGGCATGAATACAGACGGTAACTCCCCTGGAGGTACTCTCAAGTTAGAGATTCACTTCAGCCTGGATCTCCAGTACCCGACTGACTCCCCTGGTCCCTCCATGGGAGTGAAGGGCTCCCTGACGTACGGTGACAGTGCTGACCTCCTGGCTGTAGAAGCCACAGGGCTGTCCGGGAAAGGCATGCAGAGCACAGGCTTGCTGAAAGGGTCGTTCTTTGGGTCGTTCCTCCTCTGGGTGGGTACTGCCCGGAGCATGAAGAGCTCAGCCCATCCTTCTGGCCTGAGTTAGAATCTGTGGAAGCTGTCTGTGTTGGGGTGGGGGTTCTCAGTAAAGATACAGACCGCATCTGGTAAATGGGCTGGAGGGTGAGGGATGTATGGCAGAGGCAACTTTGTGCACAGCCAGTCAGCGAAGAGGTAGGTGGTGCAATCCTCTGGGTCCTCCTACTACTCAGTGGTACATAAGATGTGACCACAGGTTTCCTCAGAACTGGCCTTTATTGTGTGACAGCTTTACTGAGATGTAATTCGAATACCATTCAAATCTCCCATTTAAAGGGTGTAAGTCCATGTTTTCGATCTTGTAAATGTTACCACTAGCAATCTTCGGAAATTTCCACTTCCCCAGGAAGACTTCCACCTTATGACTGTCGCCTCCCCCAACCCCAAGGCAAGCACTTAATGATTTGTCTGTGTGGATTTGCCTATGGTGGACAGTTCACATAAACGGGAACGCACAGAGCACCACCTGCTTCCGTTTTCTCTGATGCTCTCAGGGTTCGTCCATGTGCAGCAGGTACCGCACCTCATTCCTGTTGTAGATGGGCAGTGTCCTGTATTTTGTCTGTCCATTCATCAGCTGATGGACATTTGGGTTTCTACTTACTGCCTGTTATGAAAAGCGCTGTTGTGAGGACAAAGGCATTATGTCTCAGGTGAATGCCCCGTCCTGATGTTTTTCATGTAGCTGTCTGATTGCTTTCCACGTCTGCTTCAAAACACTCAGTAGCTTCCCTTTGTTCTTAGTATCAAGATCAACATCCTCACCTTGGTCTGCACAGCTATGGCTTCTGGGCCCTTGCCAGCTTCACACCGACCCCTTCCTTGCTCTGTCCCAACCAAGAGAACAAGAGCCGCCTGCAGTGTTCAGAGCCTCCTTTCTTGACTTACGCTCTGAGTCACCTCCTCCCCCTCTACTAGAGGGGTTTCTCTAATCCCTCATGCCAAGGTCTTAGCTTACCCACCCTGCTCTTCAGACTAAGCCAGACTTACCTGTCACGCCTTCTTCAGACTCCATACAGCTTGTTCTTGTAACCACTGTAACTGCCATCGCCAGTGACATCCAGTGTGGTTCTTTTCATGCCATCATAAGCTGCAGGAGAGCAACAGTCTCGTTCTTTTCCCTGGCACCTACCACAGTACCTGGCATATGCAGACACTCAGTAATTATTTATCAAATGAACAGTAATGAACTCAAATAATGGTGGTGGTGAACAGGCTGCTCATTCAGAAGATCCCTTTGCCCTTAATGCTTCCCTCAGTCGAGGCCAAGATGATCCTGCTTTCCACTACAGCCCCTTCTCCCCTCTCCGCTCACCTGGGGGAACTGCTGTAGGAACAGAGGCGGTAATGGGGAAACCCTTCAGTCCTACAGTAAAGGCTGAGCTGTGGCTTTGTCTCTCTCATTCCCCTAGTTTGTGACGCAAGGAATCCTACCACTGCCGACCAGATGGGTAGGTGTCACAGTAGCGTCCAGGAGTGAAATTAGGCAGCATCCTGAAGACCTTTGCTTCTCTGCCAGTTGGGCAGCAGTGTGGTGACCAGCTGTGTCCCCTGCAGTAAATGACTGAGTTCCCATGGGTGTCTTGTAAAAGTCTGTCCTTGGAAGAAATTCCAGGAGGAAACTGTATACCTTCTGAGATTTGATTGCTTTTGTTTTCCATTCCCCCAGATATGCACTTGTTTGGCCATTATCCAGCGCACGATGACTTCTATCTGGTCGTGTGTAGTGCCTGCAACCAGGTCGTCAAGCCACAGGTCTTCCAGTCACACTGCGGTAAGTGGACTCCTGCACCCGGTGGATGCATGGGCAGCCGCTGACCCTGGGCCCTCATCTGGGTGGCCCTGTGTCCGTCTCAGTCCAAGGCTGGGATACACTGGGCTAGGGCTGCTGCTGCCTCTGCACACAGAGGACCCAGTAGGAGCTAAGTCCTCTTGCTCACACACCCACTCCTGTCACAGCAAACAGGAGCAAGCCTGAGTAGATGGGACTAATCTGAAACCACTGTGCACCTTGGTGGTGGCCTCGGCAGGTAGCCAAGAGCAGGGGAGGAGGTGGCTGGAGGAAGCACTCTCCTGCAGCCTGCTCTGTCTCCCCTAAAAGAGGCTCATGGGAGGGACTCCCCAGATTTGCACACACAGGGAAGGGCTGGCGCCACAGGTGGCCAGTATGTTTGTGGCATTGGATGCTGCTGCTCCCAGGATGTAGACAAAACCTCCCATTCTGCTTTCCTTTCAAGAATCCTTCTTATTATGTTTTTAAAGTGTGCTTAAAAACTCATTTTCCCCGAATATCTTAGCATTCTGACTGTGAGGCTGTGAGAAATTCCTTGACTCCGTCAGCAGCAAACTCTTCTCCATACTTGTGGACATGAGGATGGATAAAAGCCATGTGGCCATTCCTAAACACCTCTCTGATCTTAGACAAGAAGTCATTTACTCTCTCTAGGTAGCTATTTCCTTCTCTTTGCCAGGAGTTAGACCAGATGATTCCAAAGCTGTCACGTGCTATGTGAGTCCAGGACAGTATATTCTAGTCTTATTTAACCTTGACCCCTTTGATGAGCAGGATCTGAATGCCCCTCTGCTGTTGTTTCTAGAGCATATTCAATACTATACTTGAATAAAGGAGCAATTATAATGTTGAGTGTGCTTTTGAAAACTACACACATTTCCCCTTTCTCATACTGTACTCTGACTTCCACGTCCCTTTAGTATTACCATGCTGTGAAAAGTAGTCATGAAACAAAAGAAGTAAATGTGTTTGGGACGGTAGGAATAGCCGAGCATTGGTAATATGTGTCTATGATATCTACACATAGATAAAAGCTGTGTGCCAGCTATAGGTGTGGTGTATGTTTATAGTGAGTAGGCAGAGAGTCCATGCTTTGGGGGGCACTGTCTTGAGTTAGTCCAAGGCTTTGGCTGTAAAGAGAAGGGGTTCTATAAAATACTATATAAAGGGTTCTGATGAGAGGCGGGGTCCAGCTCTGCATCTCTTTGTCTCTCTGAGGAGATGACTTATGTGTGTGTGTCCATGTTGGCATGTTCATTTCTGGCAATGTGAGCATAAATGGAGTGAGCATGCCTTCAGCACAAGCTGACCTTGTTCATTGTTCTGTAGCAAATGACCCTCTTCTGGCTGGAAGAGAAATAAGGTCACACCTTTCTGAAGGGAAACTCAGAGGCCCAGCAGTGATGCTACTCACTGAGGCTACAGATAAACCATTAGAAGTGTGGCAGTGGCAAGGAGGTCCCACTCCTCCTGCTGTTCAGTGAAGATCTGTGGGATGTTGTTCTGTGTATTTGATGAGCATGAGGACTCCTGCTTGTCCTGAGTGCCCATCGCCCAGTCCTCCACAGGACCGAGCTGCTGCTCTGGGCACTCGGATACTGCAGTGAACACAAGGCCGGTTCCCAGCCTGGAAGGCTGACCCTCAGCTGCAAGCCTGGGACTGTGGCTGGGAATTCAGCAGGCCAGCAGTCTTTGATGGAAGGATCCAGAAAGGGATCCTCAGGGAAAAGCATCCTCTCACTATCAGAGGAGGCTTGCTGTAGCTGATACACAGGGCTCTGAACTCTCAGTGCTGGATCTGGGACTCAACCTAGGCAGAAAGCCAATGACATGGTGGCCACCTGTTCTGAGCAGAGGCAGAAAATTAGTTTGGAGATTTGGGGTTACTGACCATATCACTTGAAGCCTGGGTTTCACTGAGCTTTTTGCTGAATCAGCTGACCAAGAGCCATAGGGACAGGACCGTAACTCAGCTGATGGAGGCAAACAATCGGCACTCACCCTGCAGCTGTGTGTTCCTATAGTACAAAGGCAGTGTTTCTCAGGGACCAGAGAGAATTTGAGGTGCAGCTCAGAACTCTGGCAAGTCTTTGGGGGAGCAGTTTTCTTAAAGCTCTCCTCAGAATGCCTCCTATACTTCCGTGGTGGTCCTTGTCAGTTCAGACTGCCACACCAGGCTGGGTTGCTTATCAACAACAGAGATTGATTCCTCCCAGTTCTGGAGGCTGGAGTCTGAGGTCAGGACGCCAGCATCAGATATTGGTGAGGGCTGTCTTCTAGATTGCTGCCAGCCAGCTTCTTACTGTTTCCTCATGTGGCAGGAGGAGGCCAGAGCTCCCCGGAGCCTCATTTATAGGGGCCTGAATCCCATCCTTGAGGTCTCCACTCTTGTGATGTAATTGCCTCTCAAAGCCCCCCTCTTCCCCCCTTCCTACACCATCTTGTATCGGATGTTCGTATTTCCGGATTTCAGTGTGGGACTTTCAGAGATGCGGGACAAGCATTCGGTTGTAACAGTGTTCATGGACTGGAGTTGTGAGTCAGCTCTGAGCGCTTTCCTAGCTTGCCTGAGACGACAGAGTTTGATCTCCAGAACAAACACAGCACAGCACAGCTGCTTTTTCCTCATCTTCCGGCTTTACCTGGTGTGATGAGCCTTGCTGTTTTCAGTAAGTTAATAAGAGTGCCATTGTGCTCAGAGCCGGGCAGTGTGCCAGGTGCTTTGCATATCTTTGAAAACACAACCCTGTCAGCAGCCCCATGGAGTGGGTGTGAATGCTACACCCATTTTGGAGTTGAGGAAGCTGGAGCTTAAGAGGTTGGGTGCTGTGTCCAAAGTCTCAAACAAGACAGAAGAGGACCTGGTTTTGAATGCAGGTGTCTCAGACGAGGGAGGGAGTGCCCTCACAACCACTGTTCTTACAGCCTGTCTGTGCATCCCCATGCAAATTATGAATATATGTGGGAAGTGAGTTGCTGGGGGAGAAAACAGTCCAGGACTTCACACCCCATACACCAGGCCTTCTCCGACTCTCCCCCAGGCTCACTACCAGAAATGTAGGATCACTGGAAATGTGTTCATGTATTGGAATAACAGGCTTTGGAAGCAAGGCAAAATGATTATGGGCGTCCCTCGCTGTCTGTGTGACCTGGGGCAGACCATTTCATCTTTCTCTACCTCATTTGGTTCATCTATAAAGTGGATACTCTTTGCCTGCTTTGTGGAGCTGTTGGGACAACATGACACGTGACTGTGTCACTTGGAGTTCACTTCCTCCTCCTCCTCCTCCTCCTCCTCCTCCTCCTCCTCCTCCTCCTCCTCCTCCTCCTCCTCCTCCTCCTCTTCCTGCGTGTCCCCACGGCTGGATTCGGGGGACGTCCTCCGTCCTCACACCCGTGAGCCTGGTTCTCCTGCTGCCTCTTGCCATGCAGTTGTCTGGGGTGTCTCCGCTGTCAGTGCTAGGGATATTCCTTTGCATGTCTGCATTCCAGCACCCTCAAAAGAAGGCTGTCTTGGGTGCATGCTCTAAATTGAAAAATGAAGTGTGCTGTGCTCTGTGTATTTCCCTGTGCATGTGTGTATACATGTTTCTGTGTGGGCACACACGGCAGTGGTTGTAGGTACTCCTCTAAAACTGGTAGAGGAATGCTGTTTCCTGCTCACTACCTCCCACACCAGGTAATATGCTTTCCACACCAAGCACGATTTAATTTGATTCTGACTGTCTCCACCCAGGGTGAGTGTAGACCCACAAGTTAAAGGTTCACCCCTAGAAGTGTCCTCCATCTTAGATGGCAGTCACAGATGATGGTCACAAGGTACTCACACTTTTGTTTGACTTGGGGAATCCCACTTTGTTCTAATGACTCAGAGTTCAGGGGATCTCTCTTTGTAACCCTGGCTGTCCTGGAGCTAGCTTTGTAGACAGAGCTGGCCTTGAACTTGTTGTTATAACTATTAATGCTGTTGTAAAGAATGGGACAAAGCATCAGATTAACACTTAAAGTTTGTGGGGTGGAGTTAGAGGTCCTGAGCACAGGCACTTTTGTTGTTGTGGAGCTGAGATGCACCACTGGCATGTGGATGCACTGATCCTCCCAGATTCTCTCAGTCCTGTCCCTCAGGTGTTTGGAGATGTGCCACTGGACTTTGGAATTCAGTAACTCCCCTGGTTGAGTAGGACTGAAAATTCTCATCTTCTGCTGTGTCCGGTCCTTCTGAGCACCAGCCCTTATCCTGAAACTATCTAGAGATTTAGTCACCTCATCAGTGTATACAAGGATGCTTATTCCAGAAATCCCACGGGTTCTAGATGTTTCGTATCAAGAAACTGAAGGCTAGAACCAAACATAACAAAAGATCACCCCCACACCCTGTTGGTTACCGGTCACCCATCACTGAGGAGGTAACAAATTTAACCATCTGACTGGAACAAGGGACGAAGACCACATATATACTTTTTTTGACATCTCAATGTCACAGCAACAATATGAACAAAGTAGAATGTCATTAAGCGAAACTCATTGAGTTGTAGAGGTTAAAATCCTGACTCACACTTGCCTGTGCAGCCGTGGGCTAATTACACTGCCTTTCTTTCTGAGCCTGGTTCTCCGCACCTATGAGGGGAGAATGCCAGTTCCTGCCCTGCAGAATCGCTGTGAGGAAAGGAGAAAGGATGTATACTTTGCTGGCATGGAGTAAGGAAATAAAGGTTAGCTTTTATTGTCAATAAAATGTGGCCCTTTTTTATGAAGTTGAAAGTTTCTTATGAAAAATGGGAAAACCACTTTAGCCAAGTGCTTCCTGTCTTTGCTCCCGGCCATCTCAGGGGATGCCACTCTGAGGTCAGCCCATGGCTGACACCTGTGATTCACTGTAGCTTGGAAGACAGGCGTAGTTTGCCTGAATGTGATTACATCTTCTGGGAGCCTCGAGGGTTGCACTTTGCAAATATTGGTTTATATTCTCATTAGGCCCCAGT